TAAATTACATCTAAATTACATTTTATAAAATGATTTTTATTTTTCTAATAATTATAATAATATATTACAAAAATATAAATTAAAATAATTTTTTTAGAATTACAAAATTTATAAAAATTAAAAATCACAAAATAAAATAAAAGGTAAATTACATCTAAATTACATTTTATAAAATGAGTTTTGAATCTATGGGGAAAAAAAAGGAATTTTTAATCTAAAAGGCACTAAATATATATTTTTTTGGTTTTTTTCACCAAGTTATAAATAGATAAAAATACCAGTTGCTACTCTCTTTTAGCTTCTCCAGTTATTGATTTCTTCTTCTTCATTCTTCTTCTTCACTTCTCTCTGTGATCTTATCAGCAACCCTAATTTCCAGTCGCAAAATATCATTCATCATCAATTTTTCTTCATTTCAATTATCAGTTTTTATCTTTCTCTTAACCTCAGCATTCGCACTTTGATCAATTCTCGTGTTTTTGAGGATTGATCGTTTCTCAATACCGGCTTCAGTTCCTGCAATGCTCTCTGTTTCAAGATGAAGCTCATGGGGAGGAGGTGCCTGGAAGTGGTAAGTGTACTGATAAATTCAAACCAATTCGATCATGTTTTTGAATTTAGTTAACTACTCTCATGTACTGATGATGAAGTTCGTGTTTTTCCTGTTAGTTCAAGTTCAAATTTTTATTCCTGTGATTGATCAGCTTAAGGGGTTGTTTTCTTTTTGTGAAAAAACTTAGAATGCATATTTCAATTCAATGATCAAAACTTGTGGTGATGGTTTAAGGATTTAGATGATGTTAACATCCGTTTTGTTTATAGCTCTGAAGTTTTAATTAATTTTGACATCTGCTGTGATGGCGGTTGAGATGATGCACAAGTTTATAAAACATAAATTTGAACAAGCTTACTGTGGAGAAGGTTTTGTTTTAGTTCTTTGTTTTCTGTTTCCGTTTTTGCTAGTTTAGGTTGTTTTAATTTATGTAAGAAAAGATAAGAAGCAAGTTATCTGCAACTCCTACATGATGTGCAGCAAAATTTTAAGGAGGTGGTTTTCAAGACCTTCTAGGACTTGTCTGGTTGCACTTTTTCTTCGGAAGATAGAATGTGGATGTGCTCATGCTTCTATCTTAAATAATGATTTTTTTTTTCCAATTTATTTCAGCCTCCCAAAATCAGGTCTTTCATAGATGGTGTTACAGCAGTGCCACTAGAGAATATAGAGGAGCCCCTAAAAAATTTTATTTGGGAGTTCGGCAAGGTACCTGTATGGCCTCTATCAGATAACCCATTTATATCCATTTCAAAGCATTTTATTTACACTCAGTTATTTGCTGCTGCAGGGAGATTTTCATCATTGGGTAGAGCTTTTTAACCTTTTTGATTCCTTTTTTGATAAGCATATAAAACCAAGAAAAGATCTGCAAGTTGAGGATAATTTTTTAGGATCAGATCCTCCTTTTCCCAGGGAAGCTGTTCTTCAAATTCTCCGAGTTATAAGCATAATTTTGGAGAACTGCACAAATAAGTATTTTTATAGTTCTTATGAGGTATGTTTCTCTGTAAGAAATCTGGCTATTCCCTTGTGCTCCATCTAAGGTTTTTCCTTTTTGTTGAAAAATTTTTAACTTTTTTTTTTTAATCATTTGACACATGTAAGTGTGTTATCATTTTCATTTTGTTTCAACTTTCAAGTGATTTAGCTTCATTTAGTTAGTTACTTTGAAGTTTTTAATTTTAAGTGACTATATTATGCTTGTATTCACTATTTTTTGCCTTATATTTGCAGCAGCATATCTCATCCCTGCTTGCAGCTACTGATGCTGATGTGGTTGAGGCTTGCTTGCGAACTTTGGCTGCTTTCTTTAAAAAGACTATTGTAAAGAGCTTCTTCAGGGACACTTCTATTAATTCTAAGTTGTTCGCTCTTGCACAAGGTTGGGGAGGAAAGGAAGAAGGTCTTGGGCTAATTGCATGTGTCATACCTAATAGGTGTGATCCAATCACTAATGAGTTAGGTTGTACCCTCCATTTTGAGTTCTATGCATCAAATGAGTCATCAAATCCCTTGGAACAGTCAAAACAGGGTTTAGAAATCATCCATTTACCTAACTTAAACACTTGTTTGGAGTCTGATGCGGAGGTCTTATCCAAGTTAATTGCTGAATATAAAGTGCCAACAAAGTTGCGATTTTCTTTATTGTCACGCTTGCGGTTTGCTCGGGCTTTTGGCTCTTTAGCTTCCCGGCAGCAGTATATAGCCATTCGCTTGTATGCCTTCATAGTCCTTGCTCAAGCAAGCAGTGATTTAGTTTCATTTTTCAATAATGAACCTGAGTTTGTCAGTGAGTTAGTTACATTACTGAGCTATGAAGATGTAGTTCCTAAGAAAATTCAAATCTTATGTCTGCTTTCTTTGGTTGCACTTTGTCATGACCGTTCACAGCAACCAACAGTTTTGACTGCTGTCACATCTGGCGGACACCATGGCATCATATCCAGCCTCATGCAGAAAGCCATTGATTTGGTCGTTGCTAATACCTCCAAGTGGTCTGTTGTGTTTGCTGAGGCTCTGTTATCTCTTGTCACTGTTTTGGTCTCATCATCATCAGGTTGCTTAGCGATGTGTGAAGCAGGTTTTATTTCTACTCTTCTACCTCTTCTTAAAGATACAGATCCTCAACACTTGCATCTGGTCAGTATGGCAGTCCATATTCTGGAAGCTTTTATGGATTATTGCAATCCTGCTGCTGCACTATGCAGAGATTTGGGTGGTTTAGATGAGACTATATCTCGTTTGAAGCTGGAAGTATCCAGTGTAGAAAACAGTTCAAAGCAACAAGGTGACAATTCTGATGATGGGGGGAGCAGTTTGCAGGCAGTCATGGGTTCTTCAACGGACCTCAATAATATGCATCCTTTATATTCGGAAGCATTAATTTCCTATAATCAGTGGGAACTCATGAAAGCTTTGTTGCATGCTATATCTGTGGGAACATATGCCTCTGGAAGTAGTTCTCTTGTTTATGGCTCTGAGGAGAGTTTGTTGCCACAATGTTTGTCTACAATTTTTAGAAGAGCAAAGGATTTTGGTGGTGGAGTATTTTCACTTGCTGCGACTGTCATGAGTGATTTGATTCATAAGGATCCTACATGTTTTCCAATGTTAGATGCTGCTGGGCTTCCATCTGCTTTCCTGGATTCTATCATGGATGGTGTTCTTTGTTCTGCAGATGCCATAACATGCATACCTCAGTGCTTGGATGCTTTGTGTCTTAACCATAATGGTCTTCAGGCAGTTAAAGATCGTAATGCTTTAATGTGTTTTGTAAAGATATTTACTTCTAGAACTTATCTGCGTGCTCTTAATGGTGATACACCTGGTTTCTTGTCTAGTAGCTTGGATGAACTCATGCGACATGCTTCTTCTTTGCGCGGGGCTGGAGTTGATATGGTGATTGAGATATTGAATGAAATATTGAAAATTGGATCTGGGCTTGATACTTGTACCTTGTCTACTGAATCTTGTGCTCCTGTACCCATGGAGACTGATAGTGAAGAGAGGAGCTTGGTTCAGCCAGATGAAAGGGATTCCTTGAGGGCAGTTGGTTTGGAGGAGGCAAATGATCTATCTTCTGATGTTCCATTGGTGAACGTTGAATTGTTCATTCCTGATTGTATAAGCAATGTGGCTCGTCTTCTTGAAACTATTCTACAAAATGCTGAAACTTGCCACATGTTTGTTGAAAAGAAGGGGATCGATGCCTTCCTACAGTTGTTTACCTTACCTTCATTGCCTCTCTCAACATCAATTTGTCAGAGTCTCTCTGTTGCGTTCAAGAACTTTTCACCCCATCATTCTGCATCTCTGGCTAGGTCAGTATGTTCATTCCTAAGGGAACATTTGAAGGCAACAAATGATCTCTTAGCTTCTGTTGGAGGGGCTCATCTGGCTACTGTTGAAGTTGGAAAGCAGACAAAGGTTTTGAGATATCTTTCCAGTCTTGAGGGTATATTGTCTCTTTCCAATTTTTTGCTGAAGAGCACTAGTAGTGTTGTGTCCGAATTGAGTACTGCAGATGCTGATGTATTAAAGGATCTTGGAATGGCTTATAGAGAAGTAGTTTGGCAAATTTCCTTGTCCAATGATTCTGTGTCTGATCAGAAGAGGAATGCTGACCAAGAATCTGAGAGTACGGAAACCGTTGCACCAAATGCTCTTGGAAGAGAGAGTGATGATGATGCTAGTACTACTGTTGTGAGATACATGAACCCTAGTTCTATTGGGGATGGTTCTCAGCCCCTGTGGCCTGGAGAGCGTGAGTTCTTTTCTGTACGGTCAGGTGAAGGTCTGCTACTTCGTAGTCATCATGGTTTGTCTCGTATAAGGGGTGGAAGGACTAGCTGGCATGTGGAGTCTCTAAATACCGATCCTGAAGTTCCACAGACCCTGCTGGAGACATCATCTATCCAGGATTTGAAAAAGAAAAGTCCTGAGGTTCTTGCTGTAGAAATTCTTAACAAGCTGGTTTTCACATTACGCTCATTCTTCATGGCTCTTGTAAAGGGGTTTACCTCACCAAACCGTCGTAGGGCAGATGCAGGATCGCTGAGTTCGGCATCAAAAACCCTCGGTATGGCATTGGCTAAAATATTTCTTGAGGCCCTTAGTTTCTCTGGTCATTCTTCCTCTGTTGGGCTTGACATGTCACTTTCAGTCAAGTGTCGTTACCTGGGAAAGGTAGTAGATGACATGGGAGCACTCACATTTGATAGCAGGCGAAGGACCTGTTATACAGCAATGATTAATAATTTCTATGTCCATGGTACTTTCAAGGAACTACTGACCACCTTTGAAGCCACTAGTCAGTTGTTGTGGACACTACCGTACTCCATTCCTACCACAGTTATTGAACATGAGAAGGCAGATGATGGAAATAAGCTGTCACATGGTACATGGCTGCTCGATACATTGCAAAGCTACAGCCAGGTTCTTGAGTATTTTGTTAATCCTGCTTTACTTTTGTTCCCGAACAATGCTTCCCAGGCTCAGCTGCTGGTTCAGACAGTTTCTACAGGCTTGTCTATTGGGCTTTTTCCAGTTCCAAGGGATCCAGAAGCTTTTGTACGTTCACTGCAGCATCAGGTGCTGTATGTAATACTACCTGTCTGGAATCATCCTTTGTTTCCCAACTGTAGTCCTGGTTTTGTGATTTCCGTTGTCTCACTTGTTACATGTGTATATTCTGGAGTTGGAGAGGTGAAACAAAACAGTGGTGGCATTGCAGGGAGTTCAAACCAGCATTTCATGCCTCCACCACATGATGAAGCCACTATTGCTACCATTGTTGAGATGGGAATTTCAAGAACAAGAGTAGAGGAAGCACTGAGACATGTTCCAACAAACAGTGTTGAAATGGCTATGGAGTGGTTATTTAGTCATGTGGAGGATCCTGTGCAGGAGGATGATGAACTGGCTAGGGCACTGGCTCTTTCACTTGGAAATTCATCTGAAATATCCAAAACTGATACTGCTGACAATTCAATTGATGTCTTGGCAGATGAAGAGCATCAAGTTGAGCTTTCTATTGATGATATTCTTTCTGTATCTGTCAAGTTATTCCAGAGTAGTGATAGCATGGCATTTTCGTTGTCAGACTTGCTTGTGACACTTTGCAATCGTAACAAAGGAGAAGACCGTTCAAGAGTAGTTTCTTATCTTATTCAGCAGCTGAAACTCTGCCCTTTAGACTTCTCAAAGGATAACAATGCACTGTCTATGATATCTCATATTATAGCATTGCTTCTTTCAGAGGATGCAAGAATACAAGAAATTGCTGCACAGAGTGGTATTATACCTGTTGCAATTGATATCTTGATGAGTTTCAAGGATAGAAACAACTTGGGAAGTGAAGTTCTAGTTCCAAAATGTTTTAGTGCTCTACTGCTTATTGTGGATAACATGTTGCGGTTCCATCCAAGAATTTTCTCTGACACAAAACAGGGAAATCAGACAGAATCTCAGCCTGATTCATCTGCTGTGCAGGCTTCTTCGCCAGTTCCAGAATCAACTACGGAAAAAAAATCATCATCGGATGACCATGAGAAAGAGTTTGGCACACTGTTTAAGAAAATATTGGGAAGTTCCACTGGTTATTTGACCATTGAAGAGAGCCATAAGGTTCTGCTATTTGCTTGTGACTTGATAAAACAGCATGTTCCAGCAATGATAATGCAGGCTGTTCTGCAGTTATGTGCACGCTTGACAAAAACACATGTGCTAGCTTTGCAATTTCTTGAGAATGGTGGTCTACCTGCTCTCTTCAGTCTTCCTAGAACTTGTTTTTTCCCTGGATATGAGACTGTTGCATCTGCTATCATACGACATCTCCTTGAGGACCCTCAGACTTTGCAAACTGCCATGGAGTTGGAGATACGTCAAACTTTGGGTGGAAACTGCCATGGTGGTCGTGTTTCTCCCCGGACATTTTTAACATTGATGGCACCTGTTATCTGCAGAGATTCGGTTGTTTTCATGAAAGCTGCCACAGTAACTTGTCAGGTAGAGTCATCAGGGGTTAGAACCTTTCTGGTGCTATCCAAGGAGAAAGAGAAGGAGAAGGAAAAATCAAGGGCCTCAGGTGTTGAACCTGGATTATCTTCAAATGAGTCTCTGAGAATTCCTGAAAATAAGGTGCATGATGGATCTGGTGGTAAATATTCCAAAGGCCATAAAAAGGCTCCTGCTAATCTTACTCATATAATTGACCAGCTCCTTGAAATTGTCTTGAAATATCCTTCTCCCAGAAGCCAGGAAGATTACGTGAGAAACTTCACTTCTATGGAGGTTGATGAACCTGCTACCAAGATGAAGGGTAAGTCAAAGGTTGATGAGACAGGGAAAATGGAATCTGAATCTGAAAGATCTGTGGGATTGGCTAAAGTGACTTTTGTCCTTAAGTTAATAAGTGATATTCTTCTAAGGTATATACATGCAGCTGGGGTTATTTTGAGGAGGGATTCAGAAATGTCTCAGCTCCGGGGTTCTAATCAAGCAGATGCTTCAGCAGACAGTGGCATACTTCATCATGTTTTACACAGTTTGCTTCCACTTGCTGTGGATAAATCAGGAGGGCTTGATGAATGGAAGGATAAGTTGTCTGAAAGAGCCTCACGGTTTCTGGTAACCTTATGCAGTCGTTCTAGTGAAGGTTGTAAAAGGGTAATTAATGAACTTGTAAAAGCCTTATCTTCCTTCTTGAACTTGGAAGGCCATTCAACTAAGAGCACATTGGTGCCTGATAAGAAGGTTTTTGCTTTTGTTGACCTGGCATATTCAATTTTGTCAAAGAACTCATTGTCCAGCAACTTTCTTGGTAGAGGATGCTTACCAGATATAGCAAAAAACATGATTGAAGGACGGATGTCTCAGTGTTTGACTAATGTTCTTCAAGTGATTGATTTAGATCACCCTGATGCCCCCAAAATTGTAAATCTCATACTGAAGTCCTTGGAGAGCTTGACAAGGGCTGCTAATGCTAATGAACAAGTTTTCAAGTCTGAAAGGCCTAACAAGAAAAAATCATCAGGGTCAAATGGAAGGCATGCTGATCAGGTAACTGTATCAGCTGCTGAGACCATAGAGCATAATCAAAGAGGGAATGTTCAACAGGTCATTGCAAATGTGGAGGAAACTGAACAAAGGCTATGTCATGGAACTGCACAAGCTGAAGGTAATTGTGATGCAACTCAAAATGACTCTGTTGGTCAAGATATGAGAGTAGAAGTTGAGGAGGCAACTGCCACAAACCCACAGATGGAACCTGGGATTAATTTCATGCATGAGGAAATGGAAGAAGGTGGGATATTAGAAAATACTGGCCAGATTGAGATGTCATTTGATGTTGGGAGTAGGGCAGGTAATGGTATGGGTGACAAGGATGATGACATGGTAGAGGATGATGAGGATGATGATGAGACAGAGGATGAAGATGAGGACACAGCAGAAGATGGTGCTGGAATGATGTCTTTAGCTGATACAGATGTTGAGGATAATGATGATGCTGGTTTGGGAGAATACAATGATGAAATGATTGATGAAGAGGATGAGGATTTTCATGGGAATAATCGTACAGTAGAGGTAAGGCGGAGAGAAGCCCTTGATGAGTTAGATCATTTACAGGTCCTTGGTCAACCTGGGACTGCTAGTGGTTTGATTGATACTGCTGCTGAACCTTTTGAAGGAGTGAATGTGGGTGATCTATTTGGTTTTCGCAGGCCTTTTGGTTTTGAACAGCGGCGTCAAGCCGGTTGGTCTTCCTTTGAGCGACCTGTTACCGAAGTAAATGGTTTCCAACATCCACTTCTCTCAAGACCATCACAGTCAAGGGACCTGGGATGGTCTTGGTCAACAGGTGCCAATTCTTTCAGGGATTTGGAAGCTCTGTCAGCAGGCAATTTTGATGTTGCTCGGTACCATATGTTTGATGCTCCTGTTTTGCCCTATGATCGAACACCGAATAGTCTTTTTAGTGGTAGATTGGGTGGGGCAGCACCTCCACTGCTGGCTGAGTATTCTATAGGTATGAACTCATTGCGGACATCAGGGCGGCGGGGCTCTGCTGATGTTTGGTGGACTGATGATGGTCAGCCACAAGCAAGTGCTCAAGCTGCAGCAATTGCAGAAGCAGTTGAGGAACAATTTCTATCTCAGTTGTGTGGTACATCTCCTGTCAACAATGCAGCAGAAAGGCAGTTCCAAAATTCTGAAGTCCAGGAGCGACAACCATCAGATGCCCTTCCTCTGAATGATGGGAAGACAGAGGTAGAGGGTGATTATGCCTGCAGCCAGCAAAATGAAGATCAGCATCAAGAAAGTGGGAATGAAGCGTCACATCAACTTAATCTTTTGGTTGAAAGTGTTTCTTGTAGAGGGCAGCTGAGTTCTCAGTCTGTTGCTGTAGGTGTGAGTGAATGTGCACAAGCAGATGAAGGTATGTCAACTCAGTCACATTCTCTCAATGCTGCACAAAATGTGCTTGATAACATGGAAGTAGGGGAAGGTAGTGGAACTGCTGCTGAGCAAGTGGTGGTGATCCGGGAGTTGGTTAGCTTAACTGCCGGCAATCATGCTGATCTTCAACATGACGGAGATGCTGATGTGCCTGTTAATATTGATAATGTGTCAGTTCAGGCTGTACCTCCTGATGGATTGTCTGGAATGGATGAACAGACTAGGAATGTAATGGATTCTGGTTCAGATATGCCTAATCCGGCTGTTTCTCATGGGTCTTTGTTGCATGAAAGCATTGATGTAGACATGAATGCCCCAGATGCTGAAGACCAGCAAGCTGACCAGTCCATGACTCCATCTGAAGCTGCTGTTGAAGAGCCAGCATCCAGGCAAACTACAGTTTTTGCTCAGGATGCAAATCAGGCTGACCAAAACAGCGGAAGTAATGTGGCCCCAGGTACAAATTTTATTGATCCTACATTCTTGGAGGCACTACCTGAAGATTTGCGAGATGAGGTTTTAGCTTCCCAGCAAGCTCAATCTGTTCAGCCTCCAACTTATGTGCCACCTTCAGTAGATGATATTGATTCTGAGTTCTTAGCTGCTCTTCCCCCAGACATTCAAGCAGAAGTTTTGGCCCAACAAAGAGCACAAAGAGTTGCACAGCAGGCTGAAGGACAACCTGTAGACATGGACAATGCTTCAATCATTGCTAC